TTGAAACGTCAGACTGCTGCACATGCACAGACTGCTCATGATTCTCGCCAGAGATGAAGAAGTCACGGTCTGGAGGGTTCCACAAACGAACTGGGGTGCCAGCAGCTGTCTGTTGGCAGAGCTCTTTGGGAGGTGCATCCCAGAGGGTGCCAAGGCTGCAGGAGCAGTGCAGGATCCTTTCCTACCACCCTCGCCCTCCCTCCCACAGGCCTCGTGTTTTCTTTCGTTCCCAAACATATGGGCAGCCACAGACAGCGTAAATATCCAGAAGGAAATTTGTCCTACAGCTTTTCTTGTGCATATTTCATGTGGTATCTAATTGGTAAATATTTATAAGCATTTTGAATATCTGACAGGATGGTTTATTTAACAATTTCATTTCAAATCTAGCATATAATGTTTCTGCTTTCTCCCCCCTCCCCCTCCTTTCTCTCTGAGCTTTGTTTTCTTTCTACAAGCATTTTTATTTGGGGCAGTTTTCTGTTCATGTTTACAGAATTATTTCTCCATATTTTTTCTTTTTCTGCTGCCTCTTCTCAAAATGCTAATCTAAGCAATGCAATATTTCTCTCCTTGATATATGTGTATGTCTGATGTAGATTAAATACAAAGAGCCAAGAGCTTGAGGAAACATAAAAAGAGGCTCTGTGCAATGTGCCTACAGCTTTCATTTGCACAGCAAATTTAGTGCTACCCAGAAAGGCCAGACACTTTTCTGGTCTTACTTTTTCTTATTTCACTTAACTCTTTACTCAAACTCCATCCCTCTGACCTGAAACAGCTCTCTTCTGAAAAAAAAATCTGGTTGGTTTTGAACAGATGTGGAGACATGACAGAGTTCATTTAGAACATAATCAACAGATAATAATAGGGTACTGGGAGAAATTGCAGTGAATGACAAGCACCATCAGCCTTTTCAAAACAGCAAAAATTAGACATTTTTAACTCCACATGCACAACAGTGTTAGAAGAAGCAGGAAATGACTAATTTGGGATCCTTTTCTAACGTTCCAGTTTTTTAAAAATGATATTGTAACATTCTCAGGCATTATCCTGATCCTGCTCTGCTCGCTGCCTCTATTAGAAACCAAATTCTGGTCAAGTGTTACTTGATGTTATTTGAAGCAGACTGGCTCTCTTGAGTACTTTAGTTGTGTCCTTCATCTTCCTCCCTGAGGCCTGACAGTGCTCAGCCTGTCAGGATGGGGCCCCAGCATCCCTCGTGTGTGATTTGCAGTTTTCATTACTGTAAAGATCCATCTGTTTTATGAACCTCATAATCCTCGGACCTCTCTGATGTGGGAGCTAATTGGGGCCCTCAGGAAGGTTTGGGTTCTTGTCCTTGCCTGTGCCTGGTTTTGCAGGGCTGAGCTGCAGTTTGTGTCTCCAGCCCTGGGTCTCTTGCTGTGGCACAACTGGTGACCCCCACTTGCAGCCCACTGCCCGTCCAGGCAGCAGATGGTTCTCCCCAAAATTATTTAGACCAGGAGGGCCATGAAGAGCCTGGTTTAGGGGTTGAACCTGGCTGGCAGGGCAGTGGGGAAGTGGGGACTGTCCCTGTGCACCCCAAGACACAGTAAGTGCCTCCTGGCAGAGCCAAAGGGTCCTCGGGATCCTGATCTTCAAAAACCTCGGTGCAACAAGAATCTCAGAGAATCACAGAATATTCTGAAGTTGGAAAGGACCCACAAGGATCACTGAGTCCAACTCCTGACCCTGCACAGGACCATTCCCAAGAGTCACACCCTGTGCCTGAGAGCACTGTCCAAATGTTTCTTGAACTCTGCCAGGTGCTGTGAGCCTCTCCCAGTGCCCAAACATGGTCTGAGGGAAGAATATTTTTCTAATATCCAAACTAACCCTCCCCTGGCACAGCTCCAGCCGTTCCCTCAGGTCCTGTCACTGGTCACCAGTATCTGGGAGCATCTGGAAGTGCATCCTGGTTCTCCTTCCCGTCTTCCTCCCACCTCTCTAACCTTGCCCTGGGGCTGCAGCCTTCTGTCCTGCCCAAAGTGAGCCCCACCACTGTCCCAGAGCTCCTCTGTGCAGGGAATCCAGGATCTGGGATGCTTCCAAATGTGTGGAATGCAGGCAAACGTGTGACACACACACAGTGCTGGCACGTACACCAGGAGAGCTTGTAAATAAATCTTCTTGGCTTCCTCGAGATTGTCACGGTGTGTCACAACTTGCAATTCAGTATTTCATGTGCAGGTACACGGCTCCTGCTTGTGGCACCGAAAATACACCTTCAAACCAGGATCAGGAGAAGCCTGGCTGTCAGTCCCCTGCTAAACTCGGTTTTTAGAGTAAAGATACAGCCAAAAATGTGCTTGAGGAGAGAAATACACTGATGTGAGGGGAGTCACTGAGTGGCTGTGTTCTCACTGTCAGGCTCATCAGGATTTTCTGTGCTGACTGGGAGCATTCCAGAAGCCAGCAACAAAGAAGACAAATGCCTTTTGTAAAAGGGATCATCAGAAGACACAGCAGGTTCAGTGATCATTGAGACATCTTAACACATGAGCAGTCTCCTGAGAGCAGTAAGCTGCTCTTCTGCCTGGCCCCAGAATTGCTACTTATTTTATTTATTTTATTTTATTTTATTTTATTTTTTCTTTCTACAGCCTTTATGTTGGATAGATTGCATGGCTGCTTGTGTCTACTTAAAAATCAGAGCAGAAAACTTTGAATGGGGAAATCATTCATAGTCCCTCCAAATGTACAGAGCCAGTAAAAACACGAGGCTTGGAGATGGGAATAAAGCTGGGCCTTGATGGATTTTGCCAGCTGGGAACCTGCCACTTACAGTTGCTTTAGAAGCACTTTCCTAAGTGTAAACTAAACTGCCTTCCTTAAAGGAAGAGGAAAAACAATCTGAGCTAATACTTACTAGTTGCTCAGGTGATGTGGAAGTTGTGATGAAGAATTCCCTGTGCTGGTTAAGAGATAAGCTTGAGAAGTTTGCAAACTACACAGAGAGTGGTACTAAAGCTCAGCAGAGTGCACTTCCATTACCTGTAGCAAGTAGACATTTCATTCAGAGCCTACATCTATTTTCAGATCTATCTATATTTGGTGTCCTTCACCATTCCTGTGGTTATTTTGAGGCTGATAGTCTTGTTTGGTCATCTGTTCTCTCAGAGAACAGGCAAGCTTCCTATTTATTGAAATTCATCTTGGTGTGGGGAAGATTAAAGCATGGAATTGATTCGAGAGGAGCCCTTTGAAGCCATAAAGTACAATCTGTCCCTCATTTGCATTCCAGGCCTCTCTTCACCCCACATTTGGAAGCATTCACTCTACAAACTCTATCTCACAAAATGCTCAGGTACCAGATTTAGATGTAAATGATTACCATCATTTTCTCAACCATGAGAACACCTTAAATCTTAATGCACTAACTTAGCACTGCTCCTCCTTCTGCAGCAGGGCATTCACCTGGATAAGGATCTGCTGGCTCTTCTCTTATGTTTCTTTTTAATGAAGGTTTCAAGTTCTTGCTGATCTCTATTAACAACACAATGAGATCATTCAGTCTGATTTCTGCAGGACACCCTAACCCCAGCCTGAGGGGCTTTTGGTTCCCTGCAACTATTCCATGGTTCTGTGCCAACTGAGGCAGCTCTTCCCAGCCTTCAGCAAACAGGACAGCACGGAAAGCAAAGCTGGGACACACCCACACACTGGAAACAACCTCAAACCCATGCCAAAGCCATTCAACCAAATTATTTAAATAAGTTCATTATCAAGAGCATCTCAGTTCTGAAGGGGAAAAACTGTCCAAAGAGGTTTAACCACCTCTAATAACATCAGATTTTAGACTGTGCAGTTAATTATTGAATGTTTGCACAGTACTTTGAGAACTTTGTCTGACTAATATGTTGCTATGTATAAATGATAGAATTAATAATTCAGAAAATATAGATGCACAAAGCCAGCTTACCCTTATCATTTCATCAAAGCCAGGTTTAATTATCTTCTTTGTTTGGCTGCTGGTTTAATTAGATAAGCTGCTGAATTTAATTAACTCATCAAACCTAATTTGAAAAGATCTCTCAAGTCAGTAAGAGCTTGTCTTATGTTTATTATTTCTACTTGTTGCATCGAGCCTTTAATATCTCCATTTTGTTATGATCTTAATGGTAGCCTTAATTGTGTTCTAATTTACAACATTTACTCAGGTGCTGGCACTTTCCTTGTTTCTTAAATGCCAACATGTGACAAATCAATCACAATTTAATTTAAGGCAGTGAAATCACTCTCCTAATCCTCTGTCAAGTTAGCCTGATGTTAACTCCTGTCCCACAAGAGTAATTTGGGGTTTGCAAGGTGAAATTATTTCATAGGAAGTCACATTGAGTTTCTGAAGTCCCAATTCCTGGAGAATGCTATGACAGAAAGATCCCCTGGATGCTCTTTTGGGACTGCTTAACTAAATTCTAAGGTAATAAATTTGAGGCTGAAATTGGTATTACAACTCCATAATTCATTTGAACAGATCTGTGTGTGATGCTCCAGCTTGCTGTATGAGTCTGAAACTTCTTGAAGATCACTGAAGACAGAGTTATTAGGAAAGAACCTGAATTGAAATATTTGCTGTATATTTTAACCCCTTAACAGGACCTTTTATTTTGGCCACAGTTTTACATTCCTAGAGATTTGTGACACACAGAGATAAGTTGATTGCTTAAAAATGAAAATTTCCCTAGAAATGATTTCCTTGTTGTTGTTCTATTGCAATGCTATGCAATCTCATCATGCTGCTGACAGAAATGTTGCTAATTAAGCCTGGAGGAGTTCGTGCATATTTGTGAAAAGCTGGATGAAATCAAGGGCTTTCTGACTCTTCCAGGCAGCAGTTTTGCAGAAGTAACTTTGCTCACAATTGCTCTCTGTTCTTTTTTTTTTTTTTTACACCTTTCATTCTTGTGCTTTTGAGTGCACAATTAAACAATCAATTAAACACTGAAGTGACTTGTTTTTCTGTTCTCCCTCAGAACGACTATCGGAAGTTATCTATGCAATGCAAGGACTTTGTGGTGGGGGTGCTGGACCTGTGCAGGGACACTGAGGAAGTGGAGGCCATTCTGAATGGAGATGTCAACATCCACTTGTACCCCGAGCACCACCGGCCAAGCCTGAGCAGGATTAAACTTGCCATTAAATACGAGGTCAAGAAGGTAAGTTATTCCTTTGGGTGCCTGGTGATTCAGTCTTCCCATCTGAATGATCCTTCCTTGATGTCACCTGAAAAGTCATAAATGAAAGACAGAGTTCAGTGGCACCAGGACTGTCCTTAGAATTGGAGCAGTCTGTGGCTTGGTTTGCATTTTGTCACATTGTCTGATATCGAGATGCTTATTTGCAAAGTGAAAAAAAAAAAAAATAATTCCATGAGTGTTTAAACCAACTCTTCAGCCTCCCAAAGCCCGTTGTGTGAATGGAAAATTTTTATTCTGGCAAATTCCAGGCCTGGGTGGTCCCAGTTAATTGCTCCTACAATGTGCATTGATGGAAACTGGGCTCCTGCTATGGAACTCAAAGAGTGTTCCAAATTTTCAAGCTCACATCTGCTCCCTCTTTCCCCTCCCTAACCCACCACCTGCTTCCTTTTGCCTCTTGACTGTGCTGCTCTGCTGGCTGGAGAAGGTCTTTTCCTGTTATGAAAGCCATTAATTAAAGAGAATCTTAAAGCTCCTGTTTGAAATGAAACGCTGTCACGCAGGAGCACGTGGTACAGAGCCAGTTATTTTCTCCAGGGATGTTGAGTCTCTGAGTTGTTCCACCACCAAAACTGAGCAGAACATCTCAGCTCGCTCTTAGTGACAAGCTGGGTCATGTTTAGTTATTGAAAGTGTTGCTTTGGTAACAGGAGCCAGCCTTGCTCTGGTACTCTTCAGAAAATGAACTGATCTAAAAGACACAGACAGAACCTCATCAAGAACTTTGGTCAGAGCATCAAAGCTTTTCAATGTGGGAAATCTGCTCTGCTATTCTGCTCATTTATTCCCCCTAAATATTTGTGTCATCCCTTAGACACCAAGACCACGAGCTGGAGTTGCTGCTTTGAGCACATCCATCCATCCTGGTTTAGCTGCTTTCAGGGGCACATTCCCCCATTTCTTACCCTGTATTCACCTGCACCTTTTTGGAATGCATCAACACTGGCCTAAAGCATCCTTGGGAGGTCATGCACCCTTGATCTTTTTATGTATAAACATCTTCCTGTGCTCAGGAAAGCTGAGCATCCTTTTCTGGATCACAGCAACTTGTTGCTCACTGCTAATAAACGTTAAACTAATTCTAACAGTTATAATCAGAATATAAACGTGAGGATTCATCAGCCTCACGTGGACTCTCAGGTCAGCACTTCTCAGCACGCTCTTTTCAGCACAATATGTGTAAGATGAGTATTTAACTGCTGGCTCTAAGACAGTTTTATTTGTGGGAGGCAGGGACACGTTCAGACAAATGGCTTTGGTTATTGGCAGTGACGTGATAACAGACTGATGTTTATCACCCTTGCCGAACAAAGACCTTGTGTTATGGTAACACAGCAGTGATTTCCTTAAGGGGCAAAGCACTTCAGCTGCAGCTTTTTTATTCAGATCAGAAGAGGTATTTTTAGGTTTTTATTTACAAATCCTGGGCTTTGAAATCCGTGTTCATTTCAAGAAAAACCTGTGATAGAGAGGGGTGAGAAGGAGGGGGTGTATTATACATATTTAATAAACCAATTCTTGGATAGATTCTGTTGATATCTTCTGACCTCCTCTACTCAGTAAAGCTGCAACTAGCACCTACAACAGGTTTTTGTCCATGCCCTAAATGATCCTTCTCTGCATCTTTTTTTCCCTTTGTTCTCCCCATTAGAGCTCCCTGTTACCTCATCCATTTGTTGCTTCAAAAAAAGCAGTTCTCTGTTCACCTGAAAGGACACACTTTTACTGATCATTGTCTTTTTTCCTAATTTACAAAGTTTGAGAGGAACCTTGTAAAGTCATTCAGGAAAGCATCAAAGGTGAAAGGCTTCACTTGTCTGTCTCTGCTCCTTTTGTTTCTTTTTTTTTCTGCAAAGCACGTATGAGATGGTGGTGAGAAGTGTAAGGCTCTAACGTAATTGAAGGACATTATATAAAGGTAATTGAAGAATTAAGAAACTTTGCTTTTACATATTTTGCAGCTAAAATTACAGTAGTTTACAAAGTGGTCTTTAAAAATGCTGGATTATTGTTAATTCCCTACAGTTTTTTGAAAACCTAAATAATCACTCTGTACCCCAGGATTCTTGGAAAAAATCACTCAAATGTCCTCTGTTGAAGTTTTGCAGAGGCATTTTAGATGAGCTATCTTAGTGATTCATGATTCCTTGACAAGTATTAAAATGGGGACAAGTTTGTCAAGAGCAAAACAAACAATTTTCAAAAATGTAAGCATTTACTGAGTCCTGGATTGTTTTAGCCCAAGCTATGGGACTGTTGCAACTGGACCATTGTCCTCCCTGATGTTATTTAGTGGTGCTCTGCACTTGCATTCTCCAGTCAGGAGTGAGTTAGGTTGGAGTGGTTTTGGTGGATTATGACCAAAAGGGGCTCGAGTTGCTAAGCTGAGGTTGAGGTCAAGGATCACGAGCTCTGTGATTCCCTGAGCTGCTCCTCATGCAGGCTGATGAGAGCTGGAAGTTTACTCCGTGTTCTTGACTGAAAATGTTATAATAATGTGGGTAGAGCACCTTTCTCTTTCACAAGTTTTAATTCAATTAACAGTAAGACACATAAATTGGGTTGGGGGGAAAAAAAAAAAAGAAAAGGAAAAAAAAGAAAGGAAGAATTAAACAGAACACCAGATGGCTGTGTAAATCCTATTTAACAGAGAGCTGGAACAGGAACTTTTCTCCTAACTATATTATTAATAATTAACATAGGGAGGATGCTCTGAACAGAATACTCATGGCTGCATTAGATTATAACTTTTCACTGCATTGGCCACACAACTCAGACACTGAAGGGCATAAAAATCCCAGGTCTCATCAACTGCTGCAGCAACCTGTGCTCCCCACTCACTGACCCAGAGGAGGGGGTGTTCCCTGCACAATACCCTGGACAAGAAATGCCTTCCAGGGTCTCTCTCACCATGGAACGGGGTCACCTGGGAGCTTTGATGGCTTGGACAGTGGTGGTGGGAAGAAAAGTGTCCCTCATTTCCATCATGGAGAGCCAGTTGATGCTGTACAAATATAATTTAATATCCAAGGGAACAGTGGAAACACTCTGGTCATTCTGGACTCCTCAGCTTATCCATGTGATTTTTCTTTTTACATTTTTAGTTGCATGCTACAGGTGTTTTGTCAGAGGTTGGAAAGGGAAGGAGTCACTTCCTCACAGAAAACATTTCTATATCTCTGAGTATTTCATTAGCAAGGTTCCTTCCTCCCACTACAATCTCTGACTCTGATTATTTCCTCTTGCCCAGATGTTTTAATTTTTATTTTTTTTTTTTCCTTTTCCGTGACGAATCTCATTTTGTTATTTCCTGCCCATACATCCATCCTCTTAAGGCTTAAATGAATCATTTCTCCCTCCTGGATGGTGTTTGCAGTATTCCCAATTGAATGTAATATGCAGATTTAATTATTTTCATCTGCAAAGTGCCACAGGCTCTTAGATGTCCATCAAGATATTGATCATCAAGTCAGCACAGGAACACATCAAACTCCTTGCACGGATGTACAGCCATTTTCTCTTAGACAAAAAAAAATATTAGTTAATGTGGTTTGCTACAAACCTGAATTCAGCTGACTCCAATTTTGACTTTGTCTATCTCCCCATAGGCAACAGACCTGTAAAGGTGCATTTTGGATGGAAATTCAGATATAGATGAACACAACCCTTCAAAAAAAACCCTAAAAATTCAGTATTTCAAGTTCTTGAGGGTATTTTCCCAAGTGGTGTTCAAATTTGGATGTCTGCATGGATACTGTCCCAGGGGGAGGTTTTTCTTCTCATCACCCAGCTGTAGATTTCTGCATTTGAGCACATTTTTGGGACTTTATACCTGATGAAGAGAGGAGTCTTATCCTGTGAGTGAGTCTGTCTCTCCTTCAGCTCTGCTGGGAGCGAAACCATCCACACCAGAGACATCTGAGCTCCAGAACAGCCCAGTTTCTTCACCATGTAGCCAAGGGGAAATAGTTCCTGGCTCTCCTGGGAGGGGAATAGCCTCTGGAATTTTAAATTTCTCCTCCTGTGCCCACTGTGGTTGTTTTTTTCAGATACCAAAGGGATGCTGTTGTTCGGTAGTTTTTTATTGTGCCGTGTTTTCAGATGAATAATTCAATAATAAGGGTTTTCAAGAGGGTTTGATTTTTGCACAGATTCGAAAATCCTGGAATGTTAAAGGCTGGGACTTGCGATTCAGCTGCTTGTTTTCAGATAAATAATTCAGTGATAAGATTTATTCATGTATGTAAAAAGAAGAGGAATCAGACATTGACAATAAATCTCTTCAGAAAACATGCAGCCAAGTAGAATTTGAAAGTGAAGTTTCCCAAAGAGTCAACCACCTTATTCATGACCCTGCAGAAGAATTCTGAGCACAAAAAAGAGCCCCATCCTGGTCTCAGAGAAGTCAAATTATAAAGAAACTTGAGGCAGAACAAGGTTTAAACTGAATCAATGAAAGAATTTGTGTAAGCTCTACATTTTCCAATTACACACCTCAAATATATCAGACTTACATTTTCATTTCATGTGGAAAAAAATTAACAGAAGGACAACAAAACTCTCCATTCCTTCAACTAATTAGGAGGATTATTAATTTTGCCTTTTCACTCAGCACTGAAGAGCATTTGTGTCAATGGGCAAATTAAATTTGCAATGGCCTTGGCAGTTTTATTTTTGTTTTCTATTAGACTCATTTTTTATCTTGGGTTTTATTTTGTGCCTGTTTCCATCCACGTTGCTCATCCCAATAGGATCATTCTGGGATTGTTTTCCTGGGTCACAGGACAGAGATGTGGTTGCAAACTGGAGCTGTGCTAAGGTTTTAAGTGTTCACAATCAGAATTTTGTACAGGATAACTCAGGTCAACCAGCAAGTAGATCCAGATCTGGGATTTTGATGAAACTGGGGAATGTGTGAGTATCCTGGGATTTGGTGCAAGTCTTTACCCACTGCCAAA